AAACGGCAAGTTATACCATCAGATAGCGCAAAGAATTCTCTTCAGGTAATCAGCAATGAATGTGCAAAAAATAGTAACACAAAACCTGCAGAACTTTCCGGACAACCTAATAGAACGTTGGGTCGCCGATCCCCCTATTCTCTCGTCGCAAAGTATGAACGCAGCCGTACGTTTACTGGTTCTTGTTGACTAAATTGCGAAGAATTGCGAAAAGTAAATGATGAATTGCAGTCCACGTGATGTATTGACTCTGAACCGCTCTGACAATAATGCTGACTACGTAGACATAGTTGCTGTGCGCAATGTCTCGCAATCTCCGGTAATGTTCAAGATCAAGACAACATCACCGGAGAAATTCCGAGTTCGTCCTAGTACTGGGACCATTGCAGCTGGATCGACGGATATCATCCGCGTCTACCTACAAAACGGTAGGTCGTAGTTTTTTGTACCATCAGATTACAAATACAGTCGACGTTTGTTGGGATACGAAATAAACACATAAGGCAGCGTTGGGATTCGCGATGACGCGCTACAATCGCAGCAGCGCTCCGAAGCCATAAACGTGAACGCGGCCACAGGAATCGATGGCCGCCGGGCCCTTCAGTTACAAGGGAGTATGGGGGAATAGTATGGCACATGCTGCATATTCTGCCAATTCACGCAGTGGTATCGATCGCCACTGGCCGTCCGCGGCTGTGTTCGGGTCTATAGCTTGGGAGCGTTGTTGCAGTTGTAGCGCGTCGTCGCACACTGCAGCGCGTGGTCGCACCTCGTAGCGCCTTGTCGCACGTTACAGCGCGTCGGGGCGTATCATCGCGGTTCAACGCTGCCTAGGGTGTATGCGCTCAATTCCCTCCGTATTATGCCCTCATCGCAAGTCAGACTTATTGCAGTTTCATAATAAACACTTCAGAGTACAAGAACTCCTGCTCGAAAGAGAAATTCCTGCTTATGGCGCTTGAAACAGAACACTGCAATGTGGAAATGTTTGGTGAACTCTGGAAGGCAGCGGACCATGAGCGAAAGGTGGAGCAAAAGTTGAAGTGCAGAGTAAATGATGACGCTTCCAGTGAAGGATCTAACACCGAAAGAGCAGCAAGGAAAACCAGCGTCAGTTCACAGGTAAGCTGATCTATCATTTCTCATTTCAAGGGCACAAGACACGACAGATAGACTTTCTTTCTTCTGACAACGACTTTTCGGCTTTCTTGGGGTCAAGAACGCCCAAAGTCAAAGTTAGAAGAAAGAAAGGCACCTCCTAGATCAGACTATGTGAAGCCTTTCATCAAGGGCGCTCTCAAGGGGACTTAAAAGGTAGTATATGTCATATCCAACTCCACTAACAGCCTCATCGATGATGATAATTCTATGGCTTCACTTATGAAGTATTTGATGGATCGGTTTATATGTCGCATACAATATGCAGTCGTACCAATTGCAGCTGACGTTGGATAGATGCCAGCGGTAAGCTCGTCCAAGAAATGCTGCATTGCGCATACTCGTCCACTGTAGATAAGACCGGCGACCATTTCACTGATTTTCAACCGTTTCGCTTCGTTTTTTTTTCGTTCTTCCCCTATTCAGCCCCTCCGCAACCAAATTATAGTGCCTCATGCTTTGATGTACAATTTGGAGTGAATTATTCACTGATAAAATTTCAGCAAGAACAAATCGATCGGCTACGAACGCACTGTGAATGGCTACAACGCTGTCAACGAATGATGATGTTTGCCATACTGGCACTGTTCTTTGCTTTAGTAGTCGTATTACTGCACGAAAAATCGAACCACAGTGCCCTGCAAACTGCAGTCGATATGTTGGCAAAGAAAATTGACGTCACTGAATGCAAGACAACTGTCAGCTCCAAGCCAGAGATGCCACCAGTCACCTATGAAGAAGACCTGTAAATCTCCCTTTGTATATAAAAATAATAAATTTTACGATGTACCTCTTCCTGATCGCACGCCCACGCGAAATGTGAAAGAAACGTCTTCGGCTGAGAATGTGTTCCGCGCACAAGCTTTACATTTCTACGTACATTTGGCCTGTTATTTTTTTTCAAACTTTGCCGCATAGTATCTCAATATCCACTTCTCCACACACAGTCACAGTCATGGTAAAATGATATCACAACTGGAATTCGTATATCATTTTACAGAGTGAGTGTTTTGGGAGCCCAGATGACTTGAAAAGTGAAGCTCAGCGCATCCGAGACACGGCGAAGGCCATAAAGAGATCAGAAGGGATCGTTAGGCTGCGTTCATACTCTGCGGCAGCGTCCACCAGCTTACGGCAGCGTTTCGAGAGAAGCCAGCGTCAAAAAGCGTACAGCAGCGTTTTTTGGGGCACTTTGGAACTTGAGCAACTGCGAAAAGACTACGATTAACGCTATATAGATAAAGGATGTAGTAAAGTTTTCACCGTTGATCAATCCCTTTGTGGGATGCGACATGCAGTCTTTTTCCATGTGGCTTAAAATGCCATACGGCCTACACAATGATGCGAGGGCCAGCCGATGTACAAGTCAGTGTTTTATCCTCCCAGACGAATCTGGTACCAATTTACCGTCCCCGGAGGGTAGAAGGCTTGGTTGGCCTGGGCGGGAGTCGACCCGGGATTTGAACCCGACCGCGCGAGTGGTAAGCGCGCCACTTGTCACTACACCACCTCTGCCTGGCTGTGCAGAATGAAACATGAATGTACACCTTTTACCAATGCGCTTATTTCCAAAACGATGTCCTACTTGAGCCGTTTATGATAAGAGCAAAAATAATCTGAGTATGATATCAAACAACCTTACTCCATGCTAAGCAATGCTGTTTAGATGGGACACTGGATACAGCTGAAAGCATCGTAACTTTAAGGTTGCGAGAAAAAAGTTCCAAAAATTGCACATAGTGTGGAGATATTTCTGTGACTATGCAATCCAATACTGTTCCTTGTTTTGCATGTTGAACGTGAAGAAAACCTCTTGCCTACGCATTCAGCTTTGGACGCTCATGCAATTTAAAGTTCTTTCCCTCTTACAACAAGCTCTTCATGGGAAATCGATGGCAATGAACGATCGGTGTGCTACGGTAGATTACACAGTTTCTCGAAGCAATCAACAGATTATAGTGGGAGTTCAAAGAAATCCTTAATGCTTGGGCGAACTCGAAAAGCGCAGATGTGATGGAGGATGAGAGCCAGGGATTACAAGGATCACAGTTGTTTGGTTCCCCAGTAACGGGGAACTTCGGAGGGGTGAGAAGAACAAGTGACCAGGTAAATTGCTCGTTCAAGGAAAGACGCTTACTACTTACTGCGATTGACACAGAAATGAGAAAAGCAGAAAAACCAACCGGAAATGCCTCATAGAACCCCGTGAGGAATTACGCTTGTACGTGCGTAACGCGAAGAATGGGCGTGATGGGACGAGTTCTCTCTTGCTGGTACCAGCTTTTTCCCTTATCTCCACACGCTCACCATTCGGAACGGAGAGAGCTGGTAACAGCACAACCGCACCACATTATACCGTCAGAAATGAAAGTTGTACGTTGTCGGTAGGGATGTGTAAGAGTGATTTTTTTCACCTATTTCTGGGCCCCAAAGCAGTAGATCCTCCATGCTTGTGCGCAAGAAACCATGTTCATTCCATATCCCTTTCTCCTTCTCTAACTCCTCTAGCGATAACATTAATTCCTTCTCTTCATCACCTACTTTTCTCGCTTATAACAGTGCTCCGGGCGTTGACCTTTGTTCCATGACTGTTTTATATAGTGTGGTCTGTGGATCCACAGTAAATATATAAACAAATAAATGAAATTTTTGAAGGAGGCGCCTGAGCATCAAATGAACGCGGAGCGTTGAATAAGACAATCTGAGTTTTCGTGGCTCAATAAAGGGTAGATGGAAAGAGGGGACATGGATGACGAGCTAGGATGACTTCACTAGTTCGCTTCAAAACGCCTTCATGGTCAGTAGATCATTTTACTTCGAAAGAATCTGATACAACTGTATTCGCAAAGTCAAGTGCATTGCCTCTGATTCAAAAGGGTCCAGCCATAGAAAAAGGTCCCGTCTCATGTTGCAGACACGCGAACGGCCTGATCGCGCATAAGCTTATAGGAGAATGATCGCAGAGAAAAATCAGATGTGAAGGAGTACTGCGTCAAAATGGGACAGGTTTCGGAAGAACATCAAGGTGCAATGTAACATTCATCCCTGAGCTGTACAGGAAGGCGCGTGAACTAAAGACCCCTTGAAAGGGAGGAATCGGGAACAAAGTGCACAGAAACTCTCAACAGGGTAGCAAGACA